TTCAAACCCACCAGCCACTCCTCGGAAGGAAGATGGGGCAATCTACTTCTGTAGTGATACTGCCTCGGAAACCCAAGGAGGGGTCGCTATGAGTCTGGGCCAACTCAATGGCACATAACAACAACAAAGATGAGTTAAAATTATAGTTGCACCATAGTACTTAAAACTTTTGCCTATTAAGTATCAGGTTAAAATGTATTACATCTACTAATGGTGTCTCTTTCTCTTTTTTTAAAGCTGTTCTTTACCTCTACCTTGCGCAATCGCCACAGCCGGGTTTACTTTATGACCCTTGGAAAACTTGAAGAGCCCCAAAGCAATTACGGTGTTTAAAAGATTCCAATGATTTATTATGACCACATTTAAAAGTATCATAGATAATGCAGTTTGCATCTTTAAATTTCTGAGATTAAATGAGCATTCAGTTTTTTTGTTTGTTTGTTTGTTTAGGGAGAATTAAATCAGAGAATTAACTTTTAATGTAGCACAGAGTAGTTTTAATGAGAAATGCAGCTTTATATAAAATTAACTATAGCAAGCTCTATGTACTCCAATGGTGTACAATACCTTTTGCACAAACTTTGTAACTTTTGTTACTGTGAATTCAAACATTACTCTTTGGACAGTTTGGACAGTATCTATATCCAGATTTTACAACATGGATGAAATAAACTTATTATGAGTTAGATTCCAAGTAGTTTTCAGAGGAATTGGCCCTGACTGCAATTTTTCAGGAAAAGAAAATAAGCAACAAACCATATGTGATTTGTCCAAAGTCATATAAAAAAATCCAAGGTTAGATCATGAAATGGAAATATTAAAGACTATACTGTAAAGCAGACTAAGGTCTGCCTAGTTCATACCTGGGGAAACTATAGTGATAACAGGAAAAAATACAAACATTTGCCATGGAATTGATTCTGAGCCCTGGTGACCCCATATTGTCAGAGTACAACTATCTTCTATAGGGCTTTCAATGGCTGGTTTTTCAGAAGTAGATTACCAGGTCTTCTTTCCCAAGCACTTCTGGGTGGACTTGAACCTTTAACCTTTCAGTTAGCACCCAAGCACTTAACCATTAGTGCCACCCAAGGATGCTCAATAAAGGGAAAAGAGGCACCTATACCCTTAGACTGTTTGAAGGATCTCCATGACAGTTAAGTCCACAGTCAGAGATCAGTTGTGCTCTTTCGACCCCATGTTCAGCTAGTTTTCTCCTGATAAGAACACCTCAGATACTTGGTTTCTCTCAGAACCCCAAAGATGTGCAATAGCTATTTTTACAAACCACCAAATAATACACTTGCAAGCCTGAATACGGGACTGATTTCCTATACACATGTACTGTAGAATGAGTTTTTGTTTTGCTTTTTTTGTTGTTGTTGTTTCTTTAAATCCTTTAAAATAGGCGTCAAATTCTCCTGTAAGGATGGATTGCGTTCTTATCTGGCCAGCAATGCGACCATTAGATAGCATCAAATATTTGCCCAATTCCGTACTAGACTATATAAAATTTCCCTCTAGTTGTTAAACAAAAACAAGAAAGCATAACAACAAAAATATCTTTTCTAATGCTTGCATTTTTTTTGTTTCTTTCTGTGAGATAAAACAATTCATTTAAAAACATTTTTTTGTGAAAGTCTGTATGTAGAGACTTGATGCTGTAAGTTAAAAAAAGATCAGATTTTGAAAAAAATATAATTTGATCACTTACCTAAGGCCACAAAATTAGAGTGATTATTGAAAACCATACTAGTCTATCACCCAGAAATCTTACAGACGCCATAGATAGGTGGTACTGGTCGCCTATGGGAATTTCTACCTGGTGAAAAGCATAATTTCTGCATAACCATTCTCAATACCATGGTTAGTTCTGGGGCAGTAAAGAAACAGAACTACCACAAAGTATACCTCAGTATAATTCCTCTAGTTCTACTTCTAATATTAGAAGGCAGAGCTAGTGGAATCATAATTTCAAACTACCTGGTTAATCAAAACACAAAAGCAGCTGACTATGTGTGATTTCAGGACAGTACATCATTTCTGACACCTTTGGTGTCAGAAATGAAGATTTGGATTTTCCTAACAACTTCTATCAAGAGTGCAGTAGCTCGATGTTGAGAATTTAGGAGAACCTGAATCCATGGAGTAAAGAACTAAATGTGATTCACATTTCTGTTACTGTGACACAAGAATGTGACCCTAAAACTGGCTTACCCTTGAGTGTTTACAGCTCAAATGACTTTTTAAATACAGTAGTTTAAAAAGAAAAACAACTTTTATGGCAAATTATTTCCTTAGAAGTAGTCTTTATTATACATTTGTACACCAACAAGGCTGTGGGGGACTTTGTGCAAGTACCTCATTGTTGAGCAAATGGAGCTTGCTATGTTTGATTTTCAGAACTTTTTCTCATATAAGTAGTGTAGCATCAAGTCTGTTACAAATTCCTTTTGTTCTTCATAGTAGTTACTCAAAGTTAATGTTCAAAAATAAGTTTTATGTTAAAATCCCATTGTTAAGGGCAGTAACTATGTTAGTACATCAACTCCCATTGTGCTCTGTGGCTGTTATTCCAGTAAACATTGGATATTGTTAACTGAATCTACAAAGACATCCCAAAGAAACCAAGCAAGAGAGATTGCAGATTTGTAACAGAGCCTTAAAGGATAAGGTGTTAACAAAGAAAGAAAGTTGGCCACCTACCAAGAAGGGTGATTGTAAGGTTGGATGGCCAAACAGAACCCCAAACCAGTTACCTTTGAGTTGATTTCAACTCATGGCAACCCTGTGTGTGTCAGGGTAGAACTGTGCCAGCAGAGGTCTTCAAATGACTGATTTTTTGGAAGTAGATTGCCAGGCCTTTCTTCTGCAGTGCCTCTGGGTGGGCTCAAACCTCTAACCTTTCAGTTAGCAGCTGAGTGCATTAGCTAATTTCACCACCCAGGGACTCTAGCTAAAAAGAAAGGATTGGAAATATTTAGAGTGGTTCATAGGTCATATTCAGCTGGAGCCATTAGATCTTTTGCCAGCTGAAACTTTGTACTTGAAGGAAGTGTATCTATAACCAATTTTATAGCAGTAGCACCTGGAAGGACCAGCCCATCACAGACATACATATAGGGGCTGTCTGGCAAGCCAATTTCCATAGTCCTGTGATTTGAAACATGAAAGATATGACAAGTTGTGAGCAGCAGTGGGGACCGAACTATAGTCTTATTTTAGTGCAATTTAATTTTTCATCTAAGCCCTTTCCCAAAGAAATGGCATTATTGAAAAAATTTGAAAACTATAAAATTAGGGCTGATAAGAAAATCTCCGAGTGATTATGTCTGTTGAAGTAAGTTAAGGTCCTCAAGGGAAGCAGAAAGAAGAGGGGGATAATTGTTATCAAGATTGTAAAATAGACACAGCAGAATCACACATACACATGCACACAAAACATCACCATGCGTAGCTTTCAGTATTTTCAATGCTACCAGCATTGAAATAATAATCATTATTTCCTACTAAGATTGATTTAATTGAAATAGTATGCATAAAACTAGGAATAATGTCACATGCATTCAGTGGGATCTTTTAAGTACCCTTTTCATTTAGTTTCAAGAAATCTGCCTATTGAAACCTGCTTTAACATAAAAAACATTGAAACAATCTTTGAGACTGCTAATTGTTTAATCAGAAAGTCTGCAATGAGTCATTGTTCATTCTGTAAAAATAAAAAATTTAAAAAATGATTGATTGTTGTCATGACTGAAATATACTTGTCTAGTGCTTCAGAATTCATTTACTTAATGTAATAATGCATTGATTGAAAGGTGTTAGGGGTTCTGTCTGTTTTTCTCATTAGGAGTTCTGGCCAAGGAGGGGTCTGTTAATCTGATTAGAACTTTCTGGATACAATGCTAGAACAAGAAACAAAGGCACAGTCTCACATGTTATGGGTACAACTCAAGCACATTTAAATGCTGTCTTCCTTCCCACCCACCCCAGTATCTGGAAGGCCAGTGGAGAAAAAAGAGAAGGAACCCTATCAATGAGAGGAGTAAAGATTTATAGTTTCTTAGCATTAATGAAAGGATGTAGGGTGGGCAGGAGCTCTGGTGGCGTAGTGCCTAAGGCATTTGACTGCTAACCAGAAAGCTGGCAGTTCAAATCCACCAGCCACTCCTCAGGAGGAAGATGGGGCAATTTACTTCCATAGTGATACTGCCTGGAAAACCCAAGGAGGCATTGCCATGAGTTGGATCCAACTCCATGCACAGTTTTGTTTTTTTTCCTGGTGGCTCAGTGACTAAGGCACTTAACTGCTAACCAGAAGGCTGGCAGTTCAAACCCACCAACCACTCTACAGAAGGAAGATGAGGCAATCTATTTCCATAAAGATTTACCACCTTGGAAACCCAGTGGGGGTCGCTGTGAGTCAGAATGTACTTGATGGCAGTGAGTTTTGAGTTAGTCATTAATTACTCAGAGTTCATGGGTAATAGCCAATGTTTAATAAAACAGCACAAAAAAATGAACAATTAAGCCATTCAACTGGTTGCTTTGCACACACAAATGTTTGGTTTGAATGTGTTTCTTTTTCACAAGATAGACTTTTACATTGTAGCATCTTGAGACTTCTTTAAAGGTTTTCAAATCTTGTCAGCTGTTGTTGTAGTTGTTAGGTGCCACTGAGTCACCTCTGACTCATAGCGACCCTGTGCACAACAGAATGAACACTGCCCAGTCCTGTGCCAGCCTCACTATCCTTGCTATACCTGAGCCCATCATTGTATCCACTGTGCTATCAGTGTGATATTTTTGTCAGTATGATATTTTTTTTCCAAAAACGTTTAAATATGTTTCCATACATAATATAAGATATCAGATTCCAGGCATTCCCTAAAGACTCCTTCTGAGCAGATAAAATAGAGCCTGTCTACAGGTAGGCAGGTGTCCATTAAAATGCATGTCAAATGGGCCCATCTATTCAGAAATCTAAAAGCAAGCATGCAACACCATGAAGTTGAGTCTCAAGAGTTATCATAGACATGAATATAATGAAGTTCAAAAGTAAAAACTCTCCACAAGTAAATTTAAAAATTATATGACAAGTTGGGAAAATATAGGCATCATTTAACAAAGTAAAATATGTGAATTTTACTCCATGAACTCAAATGTACAACACACACACACAAACACAAAGTTATTTGAACTCTAACTTCATCTCACCAAACTGAGAAGAAATTTAATCATATATGGGTTATGTGGGCTTTCCTCATTCATCCATTAGAGTTGGACAAAAGTACCAGATGTCTCTTACAGATAAGAAAATTCAGAGTTACCCCCACTGATCAATAGTCTACAGTAGTCCACACAAATATGTTCAATGTTCACTTAGTCTCTTGCAGTGGGTCTGGGGCTTCTGTGTCATGTGTGGCCATGGAAATCCTTCTCAAGGCAGGGAGCCAAGATATCTAGGGGTCGTATCCACTGTAGTCCCAATACCTCCCTGGGTGCTGGGTAGGCATGAGTCCCTGCTGTGTCAGAAACCACAGTTCCTCCTATCTTTTCCCATTCTTGAAGGATCTCACTCTCTCCCCTCAGCTCTAGTACTTCTGGTCCCACCCCACCTCATATAAAATGAGCTTACTTCTTTTGCTTCTCTTTTTGAGAATGACCTAACAAAATTATACAAAAGGGCTTAGGCATTTTTTTTAAAAATCCAGCAAGAGGTTTGCTGAAAATTTTTGCTTTCAATTCTGTGATACAACCCACGTTTCTGAGAAAAGGAACCTCCTTGAACTGGGGGAGAGGAAATTCACTGTGAACAAAATATAAATTAAGGCCACAATTAATTACC